TAACCATCATTAGATTCCTGCCACTGTTGCACACGATTGATTCTGCATGCATGTATAATATTTACGAAGGTTATTAAACCATGCTGATTTCTGTTGAATGTCAGTTACGGATAAATTTTTAATATAGAAGAATTTGTATTCTTTCATTTTTTCACATGACTATATTGATGTCGGTTTCACATTGGTTGCTGGTGCGGTTGGTTTCCCTGCTACCTTCTTTGTTTACGTTTTTTGTTCGGCTGATCGCAACGAAAGAAGATTGTATGTCTCAGCCGATTGCATCGGTGGTCAGTTTTGTATTTGTGGATTGAATCATAGGCAATTTTTCATGTATTTGTGAGTGAGTGTACATAGTGAAGATGTTATTCTTTGCAATTTCCATCAATAATGACATAACTACACTATTGTATTATGCTCTTGAAATAAGAATTGTAGCATTACTCTTAAATGGGGTACCTTAGACCTTTTTTTATAAATGATGCCATTTTTTTACTAGCTAAATTAAACTTGAATTGAAACATGCAAAATACAGGTCTATACTCTAGCTTCACTCACCATAAATTGCTGGCTCCTGCCTCTCATAGTCTTTATGTAATTTGAAAAAAAGTGATGGTATTTGTTACCCCAGCTCTTGGGGTATCTTAGACTGGGTGGTAAAATCAATTATATTTTTTGGTAAAATAACTCCAGGTTTTGGTGCATTGTAGTAGAACTCTTCTAGTTACATAATACATATGCAAATGATAAACTTGAGGAAAGTGTCATAGTTTGCAAATGGGGGGCGCTGCCCCATAATGAGGGAAATGTGACTACCTAATAGCAGCCCTGATGGGGTAATATTGACTGGCTTGGAAATTAAGTTAAAATTACTATATATAAGACTCTGTAGAGTCTGAAACATAAAGATAAAACATAAATAGGCTGTCAAACATAAAATATGTTATATATGGTAATTTTATATTAACTTCCAAGCCGGTCTATGTTACCCCATCAGGGCTGATAAGTCCTTCAATACTGAACGAATTTGCTTGAATTTTAATATGTGAGTAGATATTATCGATATGCTGCCGCAGGAATTAATACAGATTTTACAAAAATTAATTTTTAATCAAGAACAATAAACATATTTTTTTCTCAACCCAGACACTCATAAGTCCTTCAATACCGAACGAATTTGCTTGAATTTTAATATGTGAGTAGATATTATCGATATGCTGCTGCAGGAATTAATACAGATTTTACAAAAATTATTTTTTAATTAAAAACAATAAACATAATTTTTTCTCAACCCAGACACTCATAATTCCTTCAATAGAGAACAGATTTGCTTGAATTTTGGATTATGAATATTTATTATCGATACACTGCCGCAGGAATTATTACAGATTTTTACATTAATTAGTTTTTAATTAAAACGAATAAACGTATTTTTTAAGCAACCTAACCATTCATAACTCCTTCAATACATAACGGATCTGCTTACAATTAAAGTATCGAGATTCAGATGCAGTAAATGAAAAATAGAATATGCGCACTTTATTGAAGTATTTAATTTCACGATAGAGGGTTTCTTCTTCCCAAGGCACGTGAATGAGCATTCTTTCAACTGGGTAGCATATCATAATTAAATCACGAACAAGAACTTGCTAAAGCCTTCAGGATGTGTTTAGATCATAGAATTTCTCTCCGACGACCGCTGCGTTCTCAAGTTATATGGCTGATCATTAGACTCGTGACCTGTCATCCAAGGCGACCAAAAATTATATCCAAACTTCAGATGTGATTCAATTAAAAATTGCGCTCAAACCTTTTTCTCGCGTCTATGTAGTACATTTTTTGTGCCTAATAATCTCATTCACAAAGTATAGGGCCATTAGGTTATAACCATTTTTATTCAGAAGTGTCATAGTGCCGTGAAATTAACCTCAACATCCATGATAATGGAATCTTTGGCTTACACAGTTCATATGAGTAAAAACCATTTGCCATTGAGCTGCCCATCCAAGCCTGTAACTTGCGGAAAAAATAAATCTCGCATGTCATTTATAAGTCATTTATTATCAAAAGAAAATTGTATAAACAAATTTCCCAATGATTAATATTAAAGCGCGTGATCTGAATTGCAACATAATGATACTTGTATAAATTTTTCCAGTGAGTTGAATATCATCAATGGAATATGCGCGTGTTACAAACGTCTCGAAAAAATTTGAGACCGTAAATGCTGCCGGTCTTACTGTAAATATCTAAATTCAGTGAGCAATTAATATAACCCAAAGTAATGACCGTAGCTCAATGAAACTTGTACACGTTACACGTATTCATTAGGACCTAATGGTGATGTTTAGCACGTGAAATTTTTTTTAATTTCACCTTCATTCGTGAGTAATATGGCAATACGTGCAGAAATTTGCAGTGAACAAAACATTTTCAGCTCATTTTCTTATTTATGGAAAAAATGCCCTATTGTGCTCATCATATCTGTCTGTCTGTCTATCTGTCCATGACTTTATGTTTTTGTCAACGAGAAAATGCGCTCCCACTCATTGCAGTGAGTACTGAGTTATATTTTTTCTAACTACTGTACAGATTTGAACGGAACTTTTAATATCCAAACACATGCAACTTATTCATCAGGACCTAACGGTAATGTTAAGCTTGTAACAAAATTTTCCATTTCACCTTCATTCGTGAGTTATAAAGCAATTGGGGACGAAATTTGCACTGACCAAGAAATTAATTCTGAACTACTGAACTGATTTGGACGAAACTTTGAATATACATTCCTACCATGCAACGTTTATGTTAAGCTTGTGACAATTTTTTTTATTTTTCCTTCGTTTGCAAGTTATACGGCTATACATACCGGTATATGGCTCGTTGTCAATTCAAATTTAAAAATTGGCCTAAAAAATGCCGGTCGTTTCTCCGTATATCCGTATAACTTGCGAACGAAAGCGAAATAGAAATTTTTTTCACTAACTGAGAGGTTAGGATTGTGTATTCAAAGTCTCATTAAAATCTATTCAGTAGTTTAGAAGACATTTCTTGTTCACTGCAAATTTTGGCCCAAATTGCGATGTATCTCATGAATGAAGATAAATGAAAAAAACTTGAAAAGGAAGTTAAAACCCCAAAAATTGTCACGAGCTAAACATAACCGTTTGAAGGTTAGGAATGTACATTCAAAGTTTTGTTCGAATCTGTTCAGTAGTTTGAAAGAAATTTCTTGGTCACTGCAAATTTTGGCTCAAATTTCTGTATAACTCAGGAATGAAGGTGAAATGGAAAAAATTTTACAAGCTGAACATCACCGTTAGGTCTTATGAAGTTTCATCGAGCTCGCATTTCATTGCTTACAAACTTTCAGATGTACGTATTGTTTAAGTGCAAGAGTATCATGAATACACAGCATCGTAATATATTACATGCAAGCTTTCAGATGTATACGTAGTGTTGAAGCGCACGCGTAACATGAATACAGGCCCTATGATATATATGATATATATCATATACAGACTTTCAGATGTGCGTATCAAGTTGAAGTGCGTGAATTTCATGCACACAAACATCGTAATATTTTGCATACAAATTTTCAGATGTACGTAATCGGTTAAAATGCATGAGTATCATGCATAAAAACACCGCAATATATTGCACACCTACATGCTCTTACATGTCAAGGTTAAAATAAAAATATAACATGCAGAAAATTTCCTCAAGAAAGTTTGATTCTAAGTGGAAAAAAACACTGGCGTAATCTGTCCGATTATTTTGCAAGCTTCAATACATATGATGGTTGTGTTGTCCCGGGGCTGAACATTTTACATCCGCCGCTCGTAATGCGCTGTTGGGGTCCGGGTTTTAGTCAGTACCGCAGTCGTATCTTGTCGGGTCTCGCTAAGTCGCTTGTTGGCAGTCGTCATAAGTTTATTGTGGAAGAGTCCCATTAGTTGGCAGTCATTGAAAAAGATAAATGACCTATTATTTTAGCTCGAAAGTCGTTGTAAAGTAAAAAAATTGGTCGATAACTTTAGCAAAAGTCGTTGAAATTCCAACGACTATTGCCACTGTATGAGACCTGGAGTGACGTAAAGCAAACAGAACTTGAGTTGCGCGTACAGTGTATTTTTTATAGCCATTCATTTTTATCTTCTAAGTGTTGGAATATACCGCATTTACCCTACTCTACAGCTTGGGTATTGTGGATTGCACAAGTTTAAAATTGTAAGAAACATGTTTGCTAAGTGCAAACCGCCATTTTTCCATCAAACAAAAATACATGACATTAGAGCAACGAGATTTCACACCTAGCTACTGATACTACTGTATATGATATTAAAGGCTTTAAAGCTTTGATATTTCAGAAAAAAAGTAGGACTTTTCCAGCCCTAGAGAGGCTGGAGCCTCATGGTAACCTAGAAATGAGATTTTCCTAAAAAATGCCAAACTTTTAGCAATTTTTAGGCTGAAATTGAATTTAGAAAAAAAATTGTAGCTCATTCACTTGTTTGTAGACCTACACCACATATATTTATATGGTATTTTTCAAGATATTTTCCTCTTTTTACGACCTTTCAGATTCATAATTTTCATTATAATCAAAGGAAAAGAAATTTGTGCACATGACTAGTAATATGGATACCATTCCTAAATCCTAATCCTGATTAGCTATTTAATTTATGGATTCCAGGATTGATAGAAAAAAACTAACTGGAATACCTACTCAGCAGACTATTATCTCAGCTACAGGATCATGATTGAATATTTGAAACAACCATTTCTAGATATAAATAATAGGTATACACAGTGCACAGCATTACTAAAGTTTACTGTTTACAAACAATTAAAGTTTACTGTTTACAAACAATTAGTTTAGTTGTGCTTTATTTGCATTACTTTATATTACTATTTACCACAAATTTTCGTCACAGTGGTAATGAAATTGATACCACTAAAATTCAAGTTCATCATTTATTTACATGTCACATTTTACGTACCGAATCTTCCCAATTTTGTCTGTTGTAGGTATTTGTGGATTTAGACATCGACATCTTGAACAAAATATCAGGTACAACTTGATTTGAACAGAAATTGTAGAAATTCTGAAACAAAAATCAAAATTGAAGCTGAAGGAGCGATGCTTACGCTGCTGATGCGAAACGTTGAAGCCTTGAAGGTACCAAATAATCCGCTAGAAGCCAATAACCTAATATCCGGATCTATTTTTACAACACTTCTCTTTAGAAGTGTATTAAATTTCGATTACAAGATTTGTAGCAGACAGACAGACAGACAGACAGACAAGAAGTGAAGTTAAAGAGAAGTGTTGTAATAATATGCGTTTAAAAATTACTTTTTAAAGACAACACTTCTGAACAATCCAGTGTCTTGGATGTTACACATGTACAATGAATTTCTAATTTTATTTCAAATATTGAAAAAAAAATGTCAGAGATAATGTATAAATCAATAGACAGAATAAATAATTTTAAAAATTTACAAAATTTTGATATCTTAAAATTTTTTTGAAAAATAATTTTTTTTCAATATTTGAAATAAAATTAGAAATTCATTGTACATGTGTAACATCCAAGACACTGGATTGTTCAGAAGTGTTGTCTTTAAAAAGTAATTTTTAAACGCATATTATTACAACACTTCTCTTTAACTTCACTTCTTGTCTGTCTGTCTGTCTGTCTGTCTGTCTGCTACAAATCTTGTAATCGAAATTTAATACACTTCTACTTATCCTATCGATCTGAAATTTTGCACACTTGTGTAAAGTTGGAGACAATGCATGAATCAAATATCAAAATAAAAGATTTTCAAAATGAAATTTTTTTTTCAATATTAAAAAAATTGAAAAAATAATTTTGTCAGCTACAAATCTTATAACTGATATCTGACACATTTTTACCTGTCTGATTGATCTGAAATTTTGCACACTTGTGTGAAGTCAGAGGCAATGCTTGAATCAATTAATAGAATAAATAATTTTGAAAAAAAATTATATATTAAAAAATTTATATATTAAAAAAATTGAAAAACTAATTTTTTAATTTGAAAATTAAATGAGAAATTCATTGTACATTTGTAAGATTGGAGACACTGGATTCTTTGGAAGTGTTGTCTTTAAAAAGTAATTTTTAAACGCATATTATTCACTATATTTTTTAAAAAGCATTCAAAATAAGCTATTAGATTTTGAAATGAATCTGAACTATTACAAATTTTAAAATACTGATATGGATCCATTATACGATCATTTAAAATTTGAAAGTAATTAGTGAAACTCAAATTTCGGCATTTTACCCGCATTTCTATCTTTTTTCCCGCTACGGTGTGAAAATTTATTAAAGCAGTGTATATACAATCAAAAATGTATCATATGAATAATATATCATAGTTTTCTCACATGATGTCATTAAAAGTTGTTTTTGAAGTATGAGCTCCATAACACGTCTCGGACAAATTTACGGCCGGTTTCGCGGCAAATCTCGGCGACAGGCCTATCCAGGCCTATTCTTCAATGCCGAAGATACTATATCAAATCTCCAAATTTAGTGAACACGGAATATCTGCCAAAGTAATGAACGTAGCTCAATAAAACTTGGTACGCATATCATTAGGACCTAACGGTGTTGTTTAGCTTGTGAAAGTTTTTGGAATTTTACCTTCATTCTTCAGTTACAGTGGCACGCTAGAGTATTGGATACATAACATAACATATTGATCTCGGCGCTAAAGTGTAGGCCTGATGTGGCCTGTCGCCGATTATTTTCCTTTTCGTGCCTTGTTCACAGAAGATCTAAAATCATGTCATTTGACCGGATCTTTTCATGACTGACGATAGTTTGAAGTAGTCGATGTCATCGGGGAGGCTGTTCTACATGTCGGTGATTCGAAGCGAGAAGAAATTTTGTCGCGTGGAGAAGTTGCAGCGCAGTTTTTTAGTTTATAGCCGTGGCCCCTGGTGATGGTTCTTGTTTCAAATTCTAGTAATCCTTCGGGGACCCTGTATAAACCACGAGTATACATGTATACTTCAATGAGTTCCCCACGCAGACGTCGATAACTGAGGCTTGGAAGCTTCATAATCTTCAATCTTTCTTCATAGGACTTGTCCTTCAAGCCTGGAATTATCCTTGTTGCACATCTTTGAACATTCTCTATTAAATTTCTGTCCTTTTCAAATCTCGGTGACCACACAACGTTTCCAAACTCTAGATTCGGGCGCACGACAGCAACAAACAACTGCTTCATCGCTTCTGCATTTAGGAACTGGTGTGAGCGTCTGATTAGTCCAAGAAGTTTGTTGGATGTGTTAGCTTGCGTTTCAATATGCTTGGAAATTTCAGCTCCTTGTCGACATAAAGTCCGAGATCTTTTTCCACACTAGACTTTTCAATCATTACTCACTCGTTGCAACCATGTCTTCTCATACTGTAATCTTGCTGTTCATTGTTCTTTCCGAGGTGAAGTACTTTACACTTGTCAGCATTAAACCGCAGCTGCCACGTATCAGCCCAGTTAACTAAACTGTCAAGATGATGTGTCGTCGGCATACATGGAGCACACGCTGGACACTACTTCTGGCAGATCGTTTATAAAAGCAACGAACAAAATAGGCCCAAGAACGCTTCCTTGTGGCACGCCACTGCGCACTGATGCCCAGTCTGACTCGGTTCCGTTAATACTGACACGTTGTCGTCTACCTACTAGAAAGTCTCTGATCCATTGGAGTATGTTTCCCTCAATTCCCAAAGACTTCACTTTACGCAACAGCCGCTCATGCGGAACACTGTCAAATGCTTTGGCAAAATCAAGGTACAATGCATCCACTGGCTCCCTCTCGTCCAGCATGAGAGTCCAATCGTTCAACGTAAATAATAAGTTAGTGGTGCAGGATCTACCGGCGATAAAACCATGTTGACAATCTGATATGAGATGGTGAGCAGTCAAGTGATGTTAATCCTATATTCCTATCCCTCACAACAGATTCCATTAGCTTACAAACAACATTTGTCAGACTGACAGGGCGATAGTTGCCGGGGCTGCTTTTGTCATTTTTTTTGAGCAATGGTGTTACTTGAGCTTCTTTCCAGTCGGACGGCAAAATTCCTTCGTTCAAGGTTTTTTTGAAATAATACTGTCAATGGGCCGGCCAGAACGGTTGCTAATTCTTTGGGCAATCTGGGATGGAAGCCGTCTGGTCCACATGACTTGTTGGGATTTAGAGCGACCAGGCGCTTGAGAACCTCTTCTTCGTGTATTTCAAATCCTGTTAACTTCGAGCCGACTGGGCGCTCCTCAATATCTGGAATACTGTTCAAGTCCTCATCTGTGAACACACTGCTGAAGAATTGATTAAGAACGTTAGCCTTGCCCTCATTAGAGGAAATCTTTCGTTGGTCTACTTTCTAATCAGATATACCGTCTTTTGACTTACACTTCGAACTTACACTTTGACTTACAGAAAAACCCGCTTGTCACTAATGGTGAAATTAAAAGCGACCTTGAGGAAGGTGGGGTTGAAGTAGAAAAGGACACAATCAGTAGAGCTCTAAATCGTATTGGTGTTATGCCAAGATTCGATCGAATTCCTTTAGAAAAGTTCGATTTTTGTTTCGTTGGACCAGGATTTTGTCCGATTTTCCCATTCATGTGGTTTTCACGTGTCGGTACTTCAACAGAGGAACCTTTGCAGATGATCTTGACATAAGACCAGTACGATTTAGAGCTCTGCTGATTGTGTCCTTTTCTATTTCAACCCCACCTTCCTCCAGGTCGCTTTTAAGAATAGAATAGAAGTGTCGGCACTGCAGAAATAGGCCCATGGCATGTTGCCGATACTTGAATTTTTCGTGACTTGATTCACAATGGATCCGGCTTTTGGAGACCGATCTTTCCATAACTGACGATTGATTGAGATAGCTGCTGGACTTATTGCCTGGTTCGTAATTTGCTATGCATTTTAACCCATTAATGACGAGAATTATTTTCTGAATTTTTTTTCGGTTCCTTGTGAGAATATTATCATTTGTGATGGTAATAAGCAAAAAGTATGTTCATATATTTATTTTTCGTTGTATGTGAAAAATTATAGCTTGGTTCCATATGGAACCGCTCGGCATTAACATAACGTTTCTTCAAACAACACTTTTTCCCATAGTAAATCAAGCAAGGTTGTTCATAATGGATATTACGTAATAGTATACGTATTCATAATGGACAATAATGATGATAAACCAATCATGGCAGAATACAATACAATTTTTAGCATAGAATGCTTTCATTCATTCAAAATGAATAGGAAGGTTGCCCATTTTACGAATGTTTGTGGGTGCGTTGTCAACATTGTTTACGAAGCACTGCATTTGCAGTGCTTCTGATGTCTCTTTGCTGGCCAATGTTGTTGATTGTTGTATTGCACTTCATCAAGGATCGAAGTAGAAGGGTGCACTATAGACCCTGATTGTTTTACTTAGGGTCTCCTGCATTATTGCATTTCCTAACCGATATTTTTGAAAATTTATTGCAATAGCCATTCTTTTTTTCAAAAGTTTTTTGAGAAGCCAAATGAAACCAGAATAGATATCACATATAATATGTTGGCTTGGGACCAATTGTATCGTGTTTATGGGACCAATCCATGTTCCAGCCCATGAATAAGTTTCTTTTTCTATTAGATCCGCCGATTGGCTTCAATAGCAGAAAAATGTCATCTGATTTATCTGCTGCTCAAAGTTTATAACTAAATCTCACGGGCTAGCTACGTATATGTCGTAGTATAATGTTGCCATGTCGACCACAGTTGACTTTCTTCTCTGTCGATAGTCATTGTTTTCACATTTGGTGATTACTGTTGCTGCAATGACTATTCTTGATAGGCGAGCGAAATTTCTAGTGGCTGCGTCATCTGAGTTATCTGAATATCAGTATGTTTCGTTTGTTGCTGCTTCTGTGAAAGGTTCAGTCGCAAATATTTGATCTTCGTATTATTCTTCTCTCGAAATCTTAATTATTTCATGTGATGATCTGCCAGAAATACAACTAGAAAAAAGTGACTCGGATGAAAAATCGTATAGTGTTCTACGTACGTACCTAATTCCAAATATATCAACTTTCGGGATATATACTCCTAACAGCTCTAAAGATAATAGTTCACTAATAAATAACAGAAAAACTGTAGATCTAAGATCTAAATAAATAATTTCTTAACTATATCACAAAGTAATCTACTGGGAAAATGATATGACCGGAATGCTTACACTACTGCCGAGCGGTTCCATTTGGAACCAGGCAAAATATTTCATGATCTAAATGACCTTAGAAACATGAAATCACGTAATACCATATACAGCATTAAAAGTACTCTCTTTGTCGATAAAATTCTGCATCTAACTTATAAATAATATATTTTTAGAACGAACTACTTACCTTTCTCTGCAATGATGACAAGCCCTTCTGTCTGACACCCGGTACTTACAATCTTTTAATGTTAACTGAGCAGGGAGTAGTCGGCACAGCAGAACCAAACGTTGCCAGAACACGTCCAAGATGTGTATCAAGCCTACGCATCCACTAGTATATTGATTTGACCATACAATTTTATTATGAATCAATTTTTTTCCGCTGGTTCCAAATGGAACCGCTCGGCATTAATGGGTTAAGACTGAACATATGCTCCTGCATAGCTTCGTCTAGAGTCTGTTCTTGAAGGCGTTCATACTCGGAGCGTCAACGATGCTATCAGGGAGGCTGTTCCACATGTCGGTGACTCGAAGCGAGAAGAAATGTTGTCGCATGGATGTGTTACAACGCAGTTTTTTTAGTTTATAGCCGTGGCCCCTAGTGTTGGTTCTTGTCTTAAATTCTAGTAATCCTTTTGGGACCTTGTATAAGCCATGAGTATACTTGTAGTTGTATGCTTCAATGAGTTCCCCACGCAGACGTCGATAACTGAGGCTTGGAAGCTTCATAATCTTTAATCTTTCCTCATAATAATTGTCTTTCAAGCCCGGAATTATCCTTGTTGCACGTCTTTGAACACTCTATTAAATTTTTCTCCTTTTCAAGTTTCGGTGACCACACAACGTTTTCAAACTCTAGGTTCGGGCGCACGACAGCAACAAACAACCGCTTCGTCGCTTCTGCATCCAGGAACTCCAAAGAGCGTCTTTTCAGTCCAAGTCGTTTAATGGCTTTATTAACTTAATTAATTTAATTTAATTAATTAATTTAATTTATTTTACTTAATTTTACCTAGCCAAAAAACCCTAATCTAACCTAACCGAACTGAACCGAGCCTGACATATCCTAATCTTACCTCACCTAACCTTACCTTAATTATACCCAACACAACCTAACTTAACTTAACCTATCCTAACCTAACCTAACCTGAACTAACATTGCCTTACCCTAATCAGACCTAACCTAACCACCCCATGTGATTGTCGCCATAGGAACTTGTTCCTGGCTTGAACCTAACCTTAGCAAATGACGTATATTTTACGACATATTTAATTTCCTACCTGTTCTATTTCGATACCGTGCATGATTGTGGCCGGAGTTCGAATTTCCAACACTCACTGAACGTGTTTGAAATGCAAACTCCGGCCTAAATACTTCAAAATTCAATAACCTGGGTGTCGGTTTCCCTCTATCAAAGTAAACAGTGCAAAAAGTTTAAATACTTAGTCGATAGTTGAAAAACAGCTTCAAAACTTCTTAAGGTACCAGTTTCTCAACTTACTAATTGTATTTACTGGCGGCCAGTACTGTCCCTGTGTACAGGCACCTTATTGAGACTTTAGCACAGCTGACAAGTACTGCTTTTATTGGTGAGCTAGGCAACTGATTTATTCCTCGAACATATTATGGAATAAAATGATTGGATATTATATGACATAAATTGGGAATCAATTAATCAGCTGTGATTATCATTGCGTAATTGCCAAACAGACTTGTCAGTCTTGAAGCATAATTTATTTCACGTGTAGGGTTGCTGAGCTGGAGTCAGTGTGCTACTGGAGAGCGGGCCGTAGACCAGATTTATGGTATGGTCGGTTTGAAGATCCCGTATGGAGTGATCTCGAATCAAGGAGTCCTGATCTCGTATTGGGACGGCCAAGCCGCTACCAGAATTGGGCCTGTTTAAAAAGCTATTAATGGTTGATAGGTATGTTTCAAGGAAGGTACCTCACACGGGTAAGAAAACCCCGAGGAAGCAGCCAACTTCATTACAAACCGTAAGCTTTGATTACTTGGCAATGACGACTATATTTTATGTATATAAGCAACAGTCTCTTTGGGAAAATGCAATCTGAAACCTGACTAGTAGGGAAAATTTTTTCTCATTAACTTTATAATGTTTAAATGAATAAAATTTCGTTTAACCAATCTTAATTTTTTATTGTTTTGTCATTTTGTCAGACTCACCAATCAAGATAGCATACCATACTTTTCCAACATAGAAATATTGATCACGATTTGTATATCAACATGATTTATTGAACGAGGTGCTAGGGATTTGGAAGAATTATTCCGAGTGTTGCCGTCTCTAGATTCTGAGCGCAACGTATTCATTATATTGACCACTGAAATAGAGATCAATAGGTTGTTTACATCATTTGAGGAAAAATTTTAGAAATTACAATCATTGGCTCATCGAAGGTCTGAAATGGGCGCCATTCTATTATGGGTAAAGCTAAGTGCACATACGCGGTTGTAGGATACGATTTAAAAATTTCGGTACGAATATGCAGGACTTGTTCAAGTCAATAAAGAAGAAAGCAAACCAGCATGTCAAATCTAGTAACAAGCCACATGATTAATGAACCTATAGCAGCGTGCGACGTTGATGAACCAATAGCAGCACATTAAATACCAGATAGCACATTAAATACCAGAAAAAAAAAGAAAAAAAAAATACCAGATCATGCGCTCCTGTGTTCCGAGTTAACATTATTAACTTTCTTGGTCATTATTATCTGTTGTTCGTCGTTCTCGTCCATCATACGTGAATGTAAAGCATGCAATAGAGTCAATTACTTAAAAACTGGCCCATCTCAACGATGGAAATTTGAATCTTGGCTGAATAAGGCCTTGCATCTCCCCGCCCCAAGAGACGAAGGTATATTCTTAAACGCGAGTCCAATATTAAGAAAGTCATGCAGGGTTTTGGGAGGCGCAAAAAAATAAATGAAGACTAGAACCAGGCTGCCATGTTTCATTGAGCTTAGGCCCATAAACAGGTTTAGTGTTCTGCTCGCCCCAATCTTCCACCACCAAATGTTTAAGCGTTGTCCTCGAAAGAAGCTTCACGAGTGCAGTTTATTATAAGTGCGTTCAGCGACCTGTTCGGGGGCAGTGCGGGTTGTGAACATCACAAACGCCAACTGCTGCTAAGAGGCAACGACCACACTTCTTATTACAAGTATACTCGCATATTCTATAAGATTCCCAAAGGGCTAATTGAAAATCAAACATAAGGGCCATATTTTTTACATAAAAAACTGGTGCAACTCAATCAAGAAACAATATTCCATTTTATTATGTGTCACCAGCATATGGAATGGACTCCGCAGGAGTCATTGTGGCACTGCTAGGGCCACATGTTGGCTTAGAAAGAAGTTTGGAGGATCTTATCTTTAGGAGGATCAATCTGTGGCATTGCCTCTGCTTTCTTAAGGAGCTTATCTGCCACGGGATCATTAACCCCGTAGTAACGATCCTTGATGTTTTGATCAGCAAGTGGATCATCAGGATCTGTGGGCTTCTCATGCCGATATGGACATTCTTCACCACGCTTGCACTCTCCCTTGACCCAGAAGGAGCATATGTGCGGGCGATTCCTCTTGTAATATGGCGTAGTTCTTGCAAGTCTCATGAGCATCTCGGAGGGAGCCTTGGCTTTGCCAAGCGCACCTGCAGCAGTCGAGCCATCTGAGGTAGTGGCCATTTGGCGCTCCATGTTCTGGATGTAATACTCCTTGTTGACGTCGCTTTTAGGTAGGTCATCTTGCAAGCTCAGAGCCTCATCTCGTACCTGAATAAGAATTATTATTAACAGCTAGAAATGTAAGAAAAAATTGAAAAAACAGAAGGCAAATTTCAGTGTGGGCAACCACAGTTTTTTTATAGTCAGAAATTTATTATAATCGTCAAACGTAAACAATTAAAAATATCTATTAACTTGGTCAATGAGCTCATGACCTTCTTCAGTGTCCCATTTAAATTCAAAAAGAACTCACTTGTGTAGGTAATCCATACTCAAGATCCAGCAAACATGTTTGACACACGTTCTTCAACTTTGAACATGTCTGACACACTTCTGTCTTCTTGACTCTCATCCTGGCTCCAGGACACAAGCGAAAAACAGTGAAAGGCCGAGTACAGATTTTGCATTCCTTCCCATACCGGTCTCGAGTCATGCGAGTGTAAGGGTTGTCACCCAGACACGTTTGGCACAAGATGGGAAAATCCTGAAAAATAAAAAAAGGATTAATTTATACCTTAAACGCTTAACACTTGAAAACAAATTGTTTTGGTTCATGGGTGACTTTGATGACTATGAAAATCAAAGACACATTTTTTGGCTAAAACTTCAACTTCAACAAGCTTGTGATTAGTAAGCTACACATATTAAAATGGGAGATTAGATTTGCATTAAATTCTAGGTATTTATCAGGTCCTGCAGCCAACATCAAATTTTTTCAATGCAGCTTGAGTAAAAACTATTGTTTTGTGGGTGAATTTTGAATGTGGGTGAAAATGTGCTGTTCTTTTTTTTCACTCTAGATATTAGGCAAGGGCTGCAGGAATCCCAGTCAGTAAAGTATGGCACATCATAGGTTGAGGATGCCAAATTCATTGCCCTGGAGATGCAAAGGTTCAATCGATGTGGATGGCAGTCACCAATTATGCCTCTTAGTAGATCGCCACTTGTGGCCGATGCCCAATGATTGACACGGGCGTGCACGCATCACAATCTACCTATGTGGCCAATGCCTGACGATCCACACAGACGCACTTGACTTATAATGGATGTGGCTAATTTCCAATAATTGATCGACACAGATTCATGTGCCTTACAATCAAGGCGGACACACCCACCTTCAAATATGGACACATGCAAATTCACTTGGTGTTGATTGATTGATTTATAGTTTGTTATTGGACACAGACGCCAATTTAGAGTCGAGATGGCTCAATCAAGAGCTTAAAAAGATGTAAACATCTCAAGCTAAAAGACCTTACTTTATAACCAGGTAGGAACAGGTTTAATTGCCCACAATCACAATCATTTTCGTCTTATTCATGAGTGGCTTCTACCTGATTTTCTAGTTTGGCTTCCTGAGGCATACTCAAACTTTCCTGCCATTGTTAGTACCACAAGATTCCTGCTAGATGAATTATCCTCATACTGTAAAACATGGCATAATATAAGTTCAGGATGCCAATTTCTTGAAACCAAAGATGCCAAGGTACAAGCAAGGTGGATGCCACTGGATCGTGGTCACAGTTGCCAATTATGTTTCTCCATAGATTGCAATTTACAATTAATATTTCTGATCAGGATAGATCTAAATGCATTACAATTGATATGGCTCATACATGATGATTGGCTCAAACATATGTGCATTAATTTTGTTGTAGATGATAAATTCAAGCAAACAAAACAAGCTGATGATGTGTGCAGTGATAACAGTCTTGATCAAATGATAATTAGTTTGTGATTGATCATGGATGGCAATTAAAGGTCAAGATGGCTGATGGAGAGCTCAAAAGGATACCAATATCTCAAGCAAAAAGACCTTACTTCACAGCCAAGCCAATCTGAATAACAGCCAGATTTTTCTGGGAATTGTAGTTAAAAAATCGGGCAATTCTTGAAAATTACAGGCAAAAATGAGTTGTTCTCATCTTAAGGGGACCGTCTAACCTAAAATTTTCAATTTAGGCGTTTTCCACTTTTTGGGCTCATCTTAAAGCTCACTTTTCAACGCATTCAACGGTACCAGAATCATCCCTGTGCGTCAAAAAATGATTTCGTGACAGCTTCCCAAAGAAGGGCAGTTTTTAGGCCCTGTTTTCTATGAATATCACGTTTTCTATCAATTTTTTCGAAAAATTCATAGAAGTAAAATGTTTTTATTTTTACATTTTACGTTTGAATGTGAAGTTTCATGATGATCGGATAATAACTTTAGGAGTTATAGGCTATCTCCAATTTAGGTTAGACGGTCCCCTTAAATGGAAGAAATTAGGTAAAAGATACAAAAAAAGGTAAAAAAAAAATAAATTAACCACAAGCACAGAGGTTGTTGTCTCATTAACAAATTAATGCATGCCTTAGTTTTCAAGTTAGTCCAATTAGCAGCAACATCTATAGCTGTCCAAATTTAACAGTGCTAAAACACAAGGTATGTGAAGAGCTGTCATTGCTACTTGTTACATAAATAACTTATACTTGTTTTACACAAGAGATGCGCCTTTTGTACCAAGTTTTGCACTAATGTATGACTGCTTGGACCAGCTATTATTGTTCATAGCACTTTCTATTATTGATGTCTAGATCAAAAAATTATATATATTTAAAATATATATATACACTTTTATATACCGTCAAATGGGTAATAAGGGAAGGGCGGGGTAATTCAGGACAGTTCTCTGTTATGGTGTAAAAATGTTATCAGCAAAACTAATTGAAATATTGCAAAACTAAAAATGGTGGCGTAAACTTCAATATTTTTCCTATCTATGTAGCATAGAGTAAGATAAGGAATCATACATTTACCAGCTCCAAAAATCCTTGAAGAAATGTTAAAAAGTGATATTTTGAAAAAGTACTTCTGCTAAGGTCTGTAGAAAAAAAAATTCGGCATATTAAAAACTTTTGCTTGACAAAATTGCAGACAGATGTCAGCTTTACAGCTTCATTGACAGAATTTTTGCACCTCAATCCAAAACAAAATGACCTCCATTTCTGGACGACAGAGTAACAAAAGCCACCCCCCTCTGGGTAATATGGGACACCCCTAAAAACACATATACAGTAGAACCTTGGATAGCAAAGGCTTCAGGTAAAAAAAAATTTATTAACAAAGAATTTTGATTACTACATTTACCTTGCTCTGCAAAAACATTCACTCGGTAAAATATTAATGCATCATCAGTAAATCTGATCACAAAATTGTACATAGAATTTCATAGATAAAATTGTGCACAGGGCAACATAGAATGAAAAGTAATAAATCTAAACTGTGATTTATTTCTCCAAAAAAATTTGATGGTTGTTACTAAAAAATCCCTTTATGTTTCAGGTATGTTTTTTACAATCTTTTTTTGTTATAGTGAATTCACTTGACCCAATTAAAATGGTGTGAAATTATAAGCCCAGTCCTGTAAGCTTACAGATACAGTAGAAATGCTATATGGCTGCTGATATGAGCTTGCAGTGGACAAGGTTGTTGTTAATGCTCAATGGCATGTCCATGGATATGGTAATATCACATCAATAATACGGTAATGTAGGGATATGGTAAAATCATATCCATAAAGTAAAACAAGTATAAAATGAAAAATTTCATTTTAATACATCTACATTATCTACAAAGGAAGAGGAGGACTTTGGGGTACTGTTAGTAATGCATAAGTACACTCTTCATGCTTCAAACATTTTAAAATTAAATTTTATTTCAAAGGTCCCAAATTACTCCGTTCCCAGGGATAATTTGGTACGCTTTTTTTGTGTCTAGCACTTTATGGATAGCATTTGAAATTTTTTGGAAATGCCTTACAATAGCTCCTGCAAAGACCTTTAAAATTAGCTCAAATTCATTAAGGAAATGTTTCATGGTGAGAAGTTATTAACGAAAAACCATCAAAATCTTTCCTTATAACCTTGTTTGACACTACTTTTTTAAAAACCTATTTACACATCCATAAAATATTACCTAGTTCTTTCCAGTACAAGATAGAAAATTTTGGTTGTGCATTTTGTGAAAATTCAACATGATGACCATAGCCATCAGTAAGTGTGCATGTGTTAACAAGCTAGCATTTAAAACATCTAGTCTAAGGGTCGGGACTAGAGCTTTCCCGCCATTTTCAGAATTGCAAGATTCGCACTAATATAATAAAAATTTGTCAGAATCAATTAGGTAAATTAGAGCTAGTTTACATGTAGCTTCTGCCCAATTTTTGAGAATGGCAGCCTAGAATTGTCCCAAGTAAAATTTTCTATGTAAGTGTTATAAGATCAAGCTGCAAGATTCCAACATTATCAAAATTGTGTGACCTTGAAGTGCCTAAATTTCAGTGATAAGAATAGGTATGTACACAAACCAAGTGTGGGCCACAAGAAAACAACCAAAGTGGCAGACATGCAGTTTTTGCTTCAGAGAGCGAGAGGCATTTAGTTTTAAAAGTCCGGCCCAGAAAGCAGCTTAATTTGAGCAGCTTGTTTAGTGATAGCAACAAAAAATGAATTATGACAAATGCTATCTTATCTTTCAATAAATTTATGCCATCTACTTGCTTGACTGCAATTTGCAAAAGGGGCCACTTAGTGCTAAAAAAGTTGGTATCATATTGGGCCATTAATGAAAGATGGTGAAAAAACAAGCTAACAGTTCTTTTAACATGCTCTAAATTTGAGAGCTCTGCCAATAGTTGCATGGTGATGGTGGATATTGTGATGGTGCAATTTTTGGAGTCCAACACATATGTGAATGGCAGCCACAATGGGGTTTGGTGATGCAGTACTACTAGTAATAGTAGTGATTCAGTCTCAGATCTCAGTGATGTGACAGTGCCTTCCTGCTAGTGTTTCAGTTCATATTTCAGAGTTGAGAAGTTTTTTTTATACCTATTTTACTGACCAGGATAATTTTACCACTATCAAGACATTGTGACATGAAATTGTTTACTTGCACCTACCCTGTACTGCCCTAGACTACCTACTCAGTTAAGTGCTTGTCAGCCTAGCAGCTAGGCTACTACTAGTAGGCACTAGTTCTACTTCTGAGCTGGCTGTAATTTTGATAACTAATGAAGTAAATATTAAAATGTAATGCATGGCTATTAATAGTATTAATGTAAGATTGCATTTAAATAATTTTCATTTATTTACAATTAATCAAGTGCTAGTCAGCCTATGCACTAGGGTATGGCTAAAGGCTAGACTACTACCACTACTTGGTTGTCTGAGCTATCTGCAATTTTAATAACTTATAAACATGATAACTGGTAAATATTAACATACAAGAGCGCTATTTGCTAAGGAAATGGCAGCAATTTGGGTGCTGGCGCGCTGTAGTTCACTCATCTAGGGCGCCCCACTTGCGCTTCTATTTTAGCCAAAACGTACCTAAACTACATAGGATAGGTACATGGTCATTCAGAAGGCATTTAGAATGCCACCTGATAGGTTGAAGATAGAAATTATCTTGGTTTAGAATGCCCAAGCATTGAAGATAGGTGGATGTAGTGGGGATAATCCCCACTACATCCACCTATCCCAACACTTTCTTGCACTGGATATGTAAATCTGACTTTTTAAGCTCACTGTCCAAATCCAAATCATAGGATTTGGATTTTGGGTGTGGTGACTCTGAAAAAAATACATTCCAGAGTCAGGCCTTTACTACACCCATCAGCCACACATCACATATTCATTTTGTTAGTAGGAAGGCAAAAGGGAGACCAAGCCAGGTAGAAGTGACATCAAGAGATGTTAGAGGGGTGTGAAAGTTTGTGTTAAGATTATTATTGTTTATTATTGGTGTATTTAATAATTGGTTATTTGGTTTATTATTGCAATATCACATTTATTACACTGAATAGTTTACATCTATATTAGCTATGGGACCTCTTAGGCCCTAAATAACTATTTGTTTTCTATGAAAATATTATTGATACAGTCATTATTTTATTATTGTTTTTTTCCTTACACCACCCTGGCCTCCATTCTTGCCGTTGCCAGCCTTCTTGTCTCCCTCATTCTCCATGCATTTCCAAAAATTGCTATCCACTCTCAGTCATAGCAGCAGTCACCCCTGTTGACAGACAGTCTGTCATTCAGTCATTGCAATTTTTGATAAACTTGCAATTTAAGCAGTCAAGTGATTTTAATACTTATATACGACCATTGGCTCATGCATCACACCATCACCCTTATCCCTCTCATCCAGTATTACTTTCATCATTTCCAGTCTTGCCCTCTCAAATGCATCACACTCTATCATCAGATGCTCCAGTTTCCCTCTTCCCTCTGTCACATATAAAATAAATATCCTTTTTTCTTTCATTCCATTTCCACCTGTATGTCCGTGCAATCACAATTTCACACTCAAAACATTTGCTCTCAGCCTCTTGCACAGAACATATGTATCAGTTACACCTGTTTCTTTCACTACCTGCAGCCTGCAGGCTGCAGATTCAGTCAAATTCACAACCAAAGTGTTTAATTTTAGTTAAAACAGATAGCCTACAACATGAGCTTTCTCAACTCTCAAGGTAATAAAATCTTTGAAATTGACTTATACAAAATCTAGAAATATCGATTTTTTTCAAAAAATTGTCTAAATTTATTCCTTTTTTGGGTGTATTTGAATAAATTTAAAAAATTTGTAGTTCTAGCATGTTTATTTATTTGTATGGTATTTTTCTAGATTTTTCTCTTTTCAGATGTATAATCCTGCAAAGCTATTATTTATGAATTGATAAAAAAAATTAAACAAGCTAGATCAAGATTGAACATTTGAAAAAAACATTTCTAGAGACTAGATCTTGATATCTAGGTTACTAGGTAGTAGGTACCTTGCATAGGTATGTGCACAAAAAATTTTTTATCCTTTGGTTGTAATGAAAATTACACCACTGAAAAGAGAAAAAAATTTAGAAAAATATCATATAAGTATGAGTAGAGTAGGTTGAAAAATAAAAAAGATATGAATTTTTTCCTTTTTTCAATTTCACCCCAAAAATGGACCAACTTCTGTCACTTTTTTTTGAAAAACTATCATTTGTAGGTTTCCTATGAGCCAATTTCAAAGTTTTTAGTACCATTAGAAAGCTCATGTTGTAGGCTATGTATTCTAACTAGAATAAAACATTTTGGTTGAGACTGACTGCAGGTGGGTGGGGGAAATGGGTGCAACTGCTAGATATGAATGCTATAACTTAACTTGAAGGCAGAATTGGAAAGAATAAATTTCAGTTTCATGGTCTTGGCCCATAATTGAGCTTAAAAATATGAAATTAAATAGAATACGCAAATAAAATTTGCTAGTAATAATAATATTAATTTTTATTAATATTAATTCTTAACTACTTATAATAAATATCAGTGAATATTGATATAAATAATAATATTAAATACTGATCATCATCACGTCACGTCTCATATTGCCTTGTGTCTTCAGTCTTGTCTCATCTCATGTCTTGTCTCATCTCATCTCATGTCTTGTCTCGTGCCTCGTCTCATGTCTCGTCTTGCGTCTCATGTCTCGTCTTGCGTCTCATGTCTCGTCTTGCGTCTCATGTCTCGTCTTGCGTCTCATGTCTCATCTTGTGTCTCATCTCTTGTCTCGTCTCATGCTTGTCTCATGTCTTGTCTCATGTCTTGTCTCATGTCTTGCCTCATGTCTTGCCTCATGTCTTGTCTCATGTCTTGCCTCATGTCTTGTCTCATGTCTTGTCTGCTCATCTCATGTCCAACCTCATGTCTTGTCTCGCGTCTCATCTCACATCTCGTCTCATGCCTCATATCATGTCTTGTCTGAGTTGTCTCATGTCTTGTCTCATTTCTCGTCTCCTCGTCTCATGTCCAATCTCATGTCTTGTCTCGTGTCTCATCTCCTCGTCTCATGTCCAATCTCATGTCTTGTCTTGCGTCTCATCTCGCATCTTGTCTCATGTCTCGTTTCATATCTTGTCTCATGCCTCGTCTCATGTCTTGTCTCCTGTCTCAGTCTCGGCAGTAGTTCAGGACCAGGGGCCGTATTATCAAAACTTTGTAAGTACGCAAATCGACTTACGAGTGGCGTTGCTATGACAACGTAATACTAGCGGTGGTTTTATAAAAACATTTGCGTGGTAAAAATTTGCGCGGGAAAAAAATTTAGGCTTTTAGCTAAGACTTGCGTACGTAAGTTTTGATAATGCCAAAATTAGGGTGTATTTACGTACTACAGAACTTTTTTGTCGTAAGTACAAAAAGTTACAAAGTTTTGATAATCCGGCCCCAGGCCAACCAGCTTACCAGCATACCTCACTGGCTCACGACTGAACTTAACGTAAACTGCGTGACATGACATGGTAGAAAAACTGTCAGAATGGCTGCAGAGCTCTGAAATTTCAAGAGCATGCTCTAAAAACTATAATCTTGATTTCAAATTATCTTTCATTAATTTCAAAATATGATATCAATGTTTATTTCTAGCACAAATGTTACCCATTGCACACCCCAGCTAAGCAGGTACTTGATAGACATTCCTCAAAAAAAAAATGATGTCGTCATACTTCAAGTTTTTTTGGTTAATTTCCAAACACAAGTCAATCAAATTAAGCAAACATTTGGGTGGAACTTTCAAAATTAAATACCTTACGCCAGGGTTACGCGCGCTGAGGCAGAAAGTGGCTGTCCACCATTTTGCCCGCATTGTTTACATTCGTGCATACTTTGTGCACATATCTTATCTACCTTGCAGCTTGCACAATGCACACTTTTGCACAATGCAGTAGGCTATGCACAGTATTACTACTAGTCTACTACTAAAGTTTACTGTTCAGCAAACAATTAGTTTAGTTATCCCCTATTTGTATAAATTTGAATTAATTTAGATTACTATCTGCCATAAAATTTAAGAACAGTGGTAATGAAATTGACACAACTCTAAGTTCAAGTAATTCATTAAAAAATGTCATAGGTATTTTACGTACCGAATCTTCCCAATTTTGCCTGTCCCAGGTGTTTGTGGATTTAGACCTAGCCATCTTGAAGATGATATTGGTTACAACTTGACTTGAACAGTAATTGTAATTTGTATAACTTATCAAACAGAAATAAAAATTGAAGGAGCGATGTTTTGGCTGATGATGCGAAACGTTGATGGTATCTTCTTCTTCTTTTCAAGGTGTCCACGTTGGGTGGACTGAAAGCCACAGGACAGCCACAAGGGTGACCGTTGGGCCTGAGAGCTTATGTTATGTTGGACTTCTTGGTAAGGAAAGCTGGCCTCTTTGTCCTTGTTTGTACAAGGTCAATAGAGGTGATGGATGAGCTTGATAGCATGTAAGAGAGAATTTACACATGACATGTCAGATAAAATATTGAGTTTAGATGTCTAAAAAGCTGAATCGAAATGTTCTAAAATATTTCCATCAGAAATCCAATATATATTTTATTACCGCTTTTGTTTATCGAGAATTCACATATAAGATAATTTTAGCACCATTATAATCAGCTAGGCCTAATTACATTGCTAAATTTACCAAATAATTTCATTATAGGGATTTCAAACAGTTTTCAATTTATTTTAAACGGGTCCCATTGCGTTTCCATCAATTTGTTCATCATTGTTATCACAGTTGCCATTTCCATCTATTAACCATCATTGAATTATTCCTTTGATGAATTTCTGATATAACAATAGAATTTCCATGCTTTATACACGCATCTGATAAAATGAATTTTTACTATTTACTTCTATTGCATCCATTTCTTCAATCACTGACCCATTATCCTCCATGAAGCATTGCCGACTTTGTTCCATCAATGAATTCTAGTTGAGAATTTCTGTTTTCACGAAGAAGCTCCTCCTTGCTATTTTACACGAATCTGCTCCATTGCCTGTTTGCTAAGAATATAGGTTCCATTCATCGTTTCAATCAAATTGCCAATATCATATTAATCATATCATATATCATATAATTATCTGCTCCAATGGCTGTTTGCTATGCACGTAGATTTAATCCACATCTTCAATCGCTTTTCCATTGCCCTCCATTAACTTAAATGACACAATAATTCCGCCTATGAATTTCAGCTATGAATTTCTGTTGCCACAAAAACCTCTTCAATGCTTGATATACGCATCTGCTACATTGGCTATTCACAAGGAACATTAGTTTCATAAATCGTTTCAGTCAATTTGCTATTTGTCTCAATTAACCATTACTGAACGAATTTTACCGATGAATTTAGCTATGAATTTCTGTTATCACAATGATGTCTTCTCCCATGCGTTACATACTCATCAGCTGCATTGGCAATTCACCATCTAATGGTACCGTTACGGCGAACTCCATTTTTGCGTTACAGTACAGAATATGCGAGAACGAGCTCCAAGAGACACATTTGATTGAATATTTTACGTCATTAGTCACAATGATATATGAAATTATGAATTAATCAAATTGATTACCAATACCAGTCCCATTTATAATCGAAAATTGGGTATTCGCGAAAAAATCTCACAATCACATGTGCTCGAACCATTGTAGCTGACACTAAAATAGCAAAAGGAAATCAATTAAGACGACAGAAGATGCACGAAAAGATTACGCTAATTACCATCNGGGAAGAAATTGGGTAATATGGAAATGTATCTGTTCTGTGAAAAATGTAATGGACTCCAAAAAAACAGTGAAGGTAATAACAACAAATACCTATGAATCAACAATTACCTTGACGCTCCTGAAAATTACCATATAAATAGCAGTATAAGCTATAATGCTACACAAATGTTAAAAGACAACATCTCTCATATCAAATTGCAAAAATACAAAAGAAAATATAGCTGAGTTATTGAAGTAACATGTAAATAGGAAAGTAGTCACAACATAGGAATGTAACGATTGTCTAATTGAAATTTAAGTAAATTTAAAAGCTGCTGTAATTGATCGTTCATAGCACTCACAAATGACAAATCTCTCTCTGACGCGGATAAAGCACATAAGTGTCTCCTTCACATAAAGTTGAGCAACCTGACTCAGAAGGCGCTGAAATATGCAACATCACACCCTTCTGTGCCTTTACCCAGAGAGAGAGAGATTTAGAGAGAGCCCGTCAGAGAGAGATTTGCCATTGGCAAGTGCTTTAAATGATCAATTACAGCAGCTTTTTAATTAATTTAAATTACAATTGTACAATTGGACAACTTGTACTTTTTTTATTGTTACTGTAAAATCATGTCATGAATCCTTTTGTTAAGCTAGAATTAAAATTTTCAAAGGAAATATTTCTAACAAAGGAAATAAAATTAAATCACAGTTATAAATTTGACCCGAAGGTCACTAAACTGAACACTAAATGGATAGAAGGTCACTAAACTAAACACTAAATGGATAGCAATACCATAGAGATCTGTACTGTCGATGAAGCTGCAGGTGTGGACTCGGGGTCCACAGCACCACCGACAGGATCATCTGTGATGCCGCAGCGCTCAGTGTCATGACCAAAGAGATTGCATGATGAGCATCTTTTTCGTTTGGGCTTCTTTTTCCGCGGCATCTGCAATTTTCAATTGAATTTTAAAGTTGAACTTAAAAATTGTACAGGTATTAACCTCTTTAAAAACTTGATTCTACTCTTACAATGAAAGCTCTCATACTCAAGTATCAGATATTAATTAATGAGCTTTGGTAGAGCTAATAAATACTACATGATATGAATCATGTGGCCAACAACCAAATTGATGGCACCACTTTTCTTTAATGGATATTCATAGAATGCTACTGGAATTTTTCAATGTACCCTATATACCGATTCATTCTTGTCTATAAATGCTCTATTGTATGGTTAAACTTGAAGCAATTAAGCAATAAGAGTCGAAAGGTATAGTAAATTATTTCACATTATGAAGCCTGATCACAAAAAGCATACAGATTTTCCCAATTGTCTTGTAAATTTAAAAAAATATATACATTCTCAAAACAAAAGAAAATATTCTGGATTTTAAAATTCCAGCATCATATCCACAACATCTTATAAAAATAACTTGCCACATGGTTATCAATGCATGCTTCATGAAACAATCAAGATCCTTATCAAACAACTTTAATTTAAGGTACAAGATGAGCATTTATACAACAAAATAAACAAAGCTCAAGACTTAATATTATATACGGGTTTTGCTAGCTCAATGATGTATACATGGCTTGATTGATGTATAACAAGAATTAATACCAATGCTATTAGATACATATGGCTACTTGCAAAATATTTCAGAGTTCTAATAAAATCATGAGCACCTACTGAAGATAATTTCTCTGATTAACCTAGATTTAGGGAGCATGCTCATGATACTAGAATAGCTTTAGTGATGCATATTCTTGGCCAAGGCAATATATGGAACTCCATTGCAAAATAACTAATATATTACAATAAATCTTGACCACAAAGGTAGTTCTGGCAACACATTTTCAGTAAGGCTAGCAGCATTTCCATCCTTTAAACTTGATCTGGGTGATGCAATGATTGTCTTAATTAATGAATAGATATACAAGAGGAATTGGTGAAATTGATTAAAATCTAGTTCCACCAAACAAAATAACAAGCAAATCTTCAAGCACACTATCTGCAAGACATTCTTTTATTATGAAAATGCAGTAATGATGATCATAAGATTGTTCAAGATAGAAAATGGTTTTAAAATATTTTAAGCCATGCATGCAGTTTATAAAATCTCAATATATAATTTCCCTTATGCTAAATTATTTTTGGATATCTTCATTTTCCCAATTGCTTAATGGTGACACTGTAAAATAATGAATACAGCAATAAATTATTTATTGTAGAAATTAGATTAGTAAATGCGAATTTTCAATATGAGAAGCTGAAATATTAACATGCAGTTATGATCTTCATTAAGCATGCAAATTAGCGTAAGATTTCAGTTTTATACAGCATGGAAGAAATATTCCCAGCAGCACTGTATGAGCAACACTGTATGAGCAGCATTATATGAGCAACACTATGAGCAGCATTGTATGAGCAGCATAATATAATTCTTTCACTTTTTGCACCAATCAACTATCAAATGGAATACAATTTCAAAAACATCCACTAGCATACGGACAAAAATGACACGCAAAACTTGCCCTGATATGTTGCTCTTTCTACCATTCAATTTACTTAGTTAGCAGGAATTTAAAATAATCAAGTAAATAAAAACTTATACACTAAATCTGCATCATTGATCACGACCGATAATACCCATTTGAATAGTGATAAAAAATTTGTAATTGATGGCGCCGAATAGTTAAGTTCACCAAGATAATAGTCTCTGAAGTTTAATTGAATTCTATGTTTTTTCTCAAGACAGACTTGGACCTCAAAAACAATAACAATATTAACAATATAACAATATTATTCAGGCTGCCTTTTATCCTTTTCCTGCCTGCGTGAGGCTGATAAAGGGAATATTTAGGGTAACCTCGCATAAATTCAGGTGACTTTTATTCTGTTTTCCCAATTATTAAATTGGGGAAACAGATATTTATTTATTTTATCTGTTTGTTCAATTTAATTATTAACTTGTAACCCCATTATTATTCACACGACTTTTTATGACTTTCTACGGGTGACCCAACTAATATTCAAGTTATTTTTATGAGTTTTACGGGTAACCCAACTAATATTCAGGCGGTTTCTCATCTATTTCCCTCTGCTTGAGACTGTAGCATGAAATATTTGAGCTTTGACCTCAAGTAAGTCAAGGCAGACCTGATGGCTCCCTGCACGCGATGGCCGAACTTTTGCGTGGAATTGCCCGTGTCTGATAGCGTCAGATTACACGCCGTGCTTTATCACACGTAGGGTAAGTGAGGGCTAGTGAGGGTAATCAGGAGAAGAGGGTAATGAAGATGTGACCGGTATACTTTATTACACGTAGGATATGTTAGGGCTAGTGAGGGTAATCAAGAAGAGAGGGTAATCAGGAAGAGAGGGTAATGAAGATGTGACCGTAATACCTTATTACACGTAGGGTAAGTGAGGGCTAGTGAGGGCTAGTGAGGGTAATCAAGAAGAGAGGGTAATGAAGATGTGGCCGACATACTTTATTACTCATAGGGTAAGAGGGAACTAGTTAGGGTAATCAGGAAAAGAGGGTAATAAAGATGTAGCCGTCATACTTTATTAC